AACTCCATGGCTTGTCCTGTGCAGAGCCAGGAGTTGGACTCAATAATCCCGATGGGTCCCTTCCACCTTGGGATATTCCATGATTTTTTATCATTATCCATCACTTCTGAAAATTTTAACCTGTCTGCGCTTTTGACTAATGAAGGAGCTCCAGTGCTTTGCAAAAAGTCAATTTACAACAGGAACCATCCAAATCCATCTTTTCCCTCAAGGAAAACACGTCCTTGGGGTAAAGGAGATGGGAGATTTCTGCAAGAAGGGGCATTTAACAGCAGCAAAACCAAGAAACCTGACTGATTTTAATCCTTTTTTGGTTCTGTTTGTACTCACAGGCAGCATTAGCATTGTCCCTGGTGGTCCTGGCAATCCATCAGCTCCTGGCAGACCTGGGCGCCCAGGTGGGCCCTGAAAGAGGAAGAAATGAAAATAAACTTCTAAATATCATTTTGGTTCTGTCCATACACTAACAGCTGTGGTTATGTCAGGATACTGTCATGGCAGGGATTTAGTTAGTGGGAATTCCAATTTTTCTTCAATTTTCTTAATTCCCTCCTGTTCCATCTTGCCCCTGCTGTTTCCAGGGTCTGCCTTGTGCAGTTTTGGAGGAATCCAAGTCCTTGCCATGCTCCAAGATAACAGAATCAATGTTTAGAGTTGGATCTGTTAAAATCTATTAAAACCCCCCCCAAAACAGATGAAACTTCCTAACTCAGTGACAGAGAAATGGAGGGAGATAAATTCATTCCTGCATGTGTTCAATCAGCTGGATCATTTTATATTTCTCTGTTATTTTTTTTTTTTTAATTTTTATTATTTTAGTCCTTTGAGGCTCCTTCCATTGGAATGGAGTGATCCTGTCAGGGGCTGTAAATCAGCCCAAATCCATGGATCTCCACAGAGAGAAGGATCTTTAACTGGCACTAAAGCAACGAGTGGGCAGTCAAATATCCATTGATGAAGCCATAAAAAATCAAATTTGGCCAATTTTCCCTGGCAAAAAGTTGAAGTTAACCCAAATTTCCTCCTCACTCCACTGATCCCATATGCAAATTAGAGTGACATCAATGTGTGTGGCTAATTGCAATTTTCACAGCAGTTTAAGGCAACAGGGATTTGACCACATCCCAGCAAGGCCAAAAAAGCCCCAGAGCTCATTTTGTGGCCAGCAGGTTGGGATTGAGGACTTGGCCACTCCTTTAGTTAGGAAACACCAACAATAAATCAATTTATAGAGAGCTGACTCTCTTGGGAGGGCAAGCAATGAATATTTTTGTAGTTCTTGCTCTCCTCAACCTGCTTGCAGCCTGTTCAGACCCAAGCAATAAATGTAAATAAAAAATTCTGCCACAAATCTTGGGCATGGGGACACCACAAAGCCAGGCCACCCTACAAAGGAGGTGGATAAAGGTGGGAAAGCCAAATAGGCAACAAAGTGCCTAAAAATCAGAATATTTGAATAAAACGACCCAACAGAGCACCAAACCAAAGGATCTGGTGCTTTATCCTTGCCCCACACCCTTCCAGCAGGATCTCCCCACCCCACATCTCTCTGCTCCCTCTTCTTCCATGTCCAACTTCACAATTCTCTCCTTCCCTCCCCTTAAAACAAACCCAAACCACTCAGGCTGGGGCTCCCAGCAGGAATCAGAGCCCAGCCCTGGTGGGGTGAGGAGCTGCCCCAGCCTGGCCAGGGCTGTGCTGTCCCCAGCAGGGCTGGCCCTGTCCCAGCCCCATGAGGACAAGGCCTGCATTAACAACAAGGCCCCGCCATGACTGGCCTGGATTAACAACAACGCTGCTCCCAGGGCTGGAGCAGCAGGAAAACACCAGGGAAAATCCCAGCAGTGCCCAGGGGTGGCTGCAGAACTCTCCAGAACATCCATTTCTCCAGGCAGGCTTGACATCCACAATTTGCTGAGCCTGGCCCACACCAGGGCCCTCAACCCCACTGAGAGCCCATCCCACACCCTTCTATTGGAGCAGAAATGGCACAAATCATTTAGGCCAGGCTTGTTTTGTATGATAAACCTTGTTTTCTCTCCCTCTCCTCCTATAACTCCAGCCCTGCCTATGGTGGAGCAGGGCTGAGCTTGTTTATCTCTCCTGACAAGTGTTGATGCAGTGCTTTTATCCATAAATGCCTCTTTTTGTTTCAGGCTGGGTGTGGGAGGTCTTTTCCTGGTGGAATGGACCAGCAGAGGGGGGTGAGCAATGAAACACAGGAAAATCAACCCCATAAAGCACTTTGGAAATTTAAATTCATGAATGCCTGGAAGAAATGCAGCCTGCCAGGGGCTGGGTGTAAATCTGTGTGCCTCTCCTTATGGAAATGGGGATTTGCTGAAATACAGCAGCCAGGCATGGATGGGGACTGCAACTTGCATTTGAAATGCAAACCCTGGGGTAACACTGCCATGGAAGGGTTAAACTGAAACCTGGGGGTGTCTGTGTGGAGGGTGCTGAGCCTCAGCATTCACCAAGCATGTCTCTCTCTCCCTGGCTGGTTGAAAATCAGAAAATTTTGGTCAGAAAATTACATAATAGGAGATGTTTATGGCAGTTTTGGGGGTCTCTGAGTTAAGGGAGCATTTGGGAAAAGCAGCACTGGAAGCACTCAGGAGCCTCAGCATTCACCATCTCTCCCTGGTTGTTTTTCAGTCCTGGTCAGAAAATTACATCATAGGAGATGTTTATGGCAGTTTTGGAGGTCTCTGAGTTAAGGGAGCATTTGGAAAAAGCACCACCCTGGAAGCAATCAGAAGCCAAATCAGGATTTTTAGTAATGCCTTTTAGGGATCCTGTTGCACTTTTGAGGTGCCAAACTGTGCTCAGGGGAGTGATTCCCTTGGGATTCAGTGACTGATGGCTTTGGAAGGTGAAGATATTTTGTGATGAGTCCCAGAGCACCCGGACACCCAAATTTCCAACCAAACCCAGGGTGGGTGAGGGCACTGCAGTTTGCTCCAATGCTGCAGCTCACCCCCTTCCAAACAACACATTTTCCCACTTCCTTCCTCCCAGTCTGGAGCGCCCATGGAACAGCTCCCTGCTCTCCTCAGTGCCATATTTCCTCCTTCCCACTGCTGCCTAAGTCATCCCAAAGCATCCTGAGCCCTCTGGAGCCTCCCACACCCAGGCTGCTCCTCAGCTCTGCTGCTGACACAAACTCCTCTGTGCCTCCTGATCGTGCAAGAAGCTTTAAATAAATAAAGCAAATAAAGCTCTTTCTTCTTCTTTTTTTTTTTTTTTTTTTTTTTACAATGAATAAACCAGAGCTAAATGAGTGTTGGCCAATATTAACAGAGCTGACTATTGTTGGGCTGTTAATTCATTGCACCTGCCTGAGAGCAGATAAAAAATCTCTTTATCAGATGCAGGCAGAGGGAATGTTCCTCACTGTACCCAGGGAAGGGTCATGTAAATTCATGAGCCACACTCTCAGGGTTAATAATAAACAAATTAAAAGAGGAGCTGCTCTAATTGAAAAGGAGGGTTTTAATACAGTTGCAGTGAGTTCATCACTTCTCTCTGCACCCTGTGCTGGGTTACACTCTGCTCTGGACACTGCTGCAGCCTGTCCTAGAATGCAAATTATTCCTCTCAGAGTGGCTGCTGCTGCTGCTTGGCTCTGCAGGGCTGTTCCAGAGGAGCTTGGCCAGCAAAATCTGCATCTGCCTGGACACATGACAGGAGGAGTGTCCCCTGTCCCCAGGGCCAGCATCCAGCCTGCCAGGAATCCAGCAGGAGAAGGGACAGCTGAGCATCAATGATGGAGACAGGGATGAGGCCACAGGGAAAACAGCACCTTGGGAATATTCAAAATTCAAATGAGGATTTTTAGGGCTTGCCCTTGACCACTGAGAGTTGCAAACCAAGACAGGGATGAAGCTACAGGGGAAAACAGCACCCTGGAATTATTCAGAAGCGAAAAAAGGATTTTTGGGGCTTGCCCTGGACCCCTGAGAGATGCAAACCAAGACAGGGATGATGCCACAGGGAAAACAGCACCCTGGGAATATTCAAAATTTAAATGAGGATTTTTAGGGTTTGCTCTGGACCACTCAGTGAGAGATGCAAACTGAGACAGGGATGATGCCGCAGGGAAAACAGCACCCTGGGAATATTCAGAAGCCAAATGAGGATTTTTATGGCTCGCCCTAAAAATGAGAGATGAAAACCAAGACAGGCAGGGAAAAACAGCACCCTGGAAATATTCAAAATCCATACGAGGATTTTTAGGGGACCACTGAGACATGTAAACCAAGAAAGGGATGAGGCCACAGGGAAAAACAGCACCCTGGAAATATTCAGAAGCCAAACGAGGAATTTTAGGGGACCACTGAGAGATGTAAACCAAGAAAGGGATGAGGCCACAGGGAAAAGCAACACTCTGAAAATACTCAGAAGCCAAAAAAGGATTTTTGGAGCTTTCCCTGGACCACTGAGAGATGCAAACCACGCCCAGCTCACCCCCTCTCTGTGAACCCAGGCTGCAGAGCTCCTGTGTGGGCACAGTGCAGGCCCACAAGGGTTAAGCCAGGCCCAGGAGCCCCCAGGGCTGAGCCGGGATTGATTTCTGAGCTGGCAGGCAGAGATGGATGGAGCTCAGGCAGGGCCCCTCGTCCTCAATCATGTCCCAGGCACCAGAAATGGGATTTGTGCTCCATCAGCAGCAGTGCAATGCAGGGGAGGGTCCTCCCAGCACTGCTCCAGGGGAAAAGGGGCAGTGCAGCAACCACAGGGACCAAGGAGGCAACAAAGAACCTGACCTAAAACAAAGGCAGTGCCCAGGCTGGGGACGGTGCCATGGGAATGCCCCAGCACCCGCCCTGCCCTGTATCCCACCATGAACTCCTTTGGGAGCTGCTCTCACAGTATAAACGGGATTTTAACAGGATTTTAATAGGATTTGAAGGCTCCAGGGATACCCCACAGCCCCACCAACCCACCCAAACTCCAGCCAAGAGGAGAAAGCCACGGGCACTCACCCTCTCCCCTGGGTCACCCATCAAGCCCACGGGTCCAGTTGGTCCTGGAGGTCCTGGAAGGCCCTGGCAGAGAAAAGGGGGGAAAATAACCCTAAGCCACGAAAGAAAATGTGTTATTATTTGTAGCAGATTTCTAGGAGCAGCAGGAAAAGCTCTCTGTTTATTTTTTGCACCACAAAATCCACCCCAAAGCTCTCCCTGTGCACGTGTGTGGCAGATGGGAGCAGCAGAGCCCAAGGAGCAGGGGGAAAATGCCACTTACTGCTGGGCCTTCAGGACCTGGGGGGCCTTCCACCAGCATTCCCTGAGCAAGAGGAAGGAAAAAAACAGGATTAGACACATCCACAAAGTCATTTTGTCCACAGGGAAATGCCCAGTGCTTGAGCTGGTCCTAAATATTTCAGCTCTTGCTGCTGCTTGGAGACACCCCAGAGCTGGAGGGTTTGCACTTCTTCTGGATGACTTCTTCCAGAGGTGCAGAGGATCATGGAAAAGCCAAAAAATGTGTAATTAAATCCCAAATAATGTGTAATTAAATCCCAAATAATGTGTTATTAAATCCCAGCCCTCACTCCCAGCATCAGCCCCAGCACAGCATCACCTTCCCCAGCATCACCTTCCCCTTCTCCCTTTGCTCAGAGCCAGGGAAAAAGCAAATCCTGGACTTTGTCCAGCCTTGGTGGTGCTGGAGCTTGAGAAATAAAGCTTTTCCTAGCCCTAAAGAGCGTAACAAGAAGTTAGCAATCAAGCTGCAAGGTGGTTTTTAAGTGATTTTTTCCAGCAGGCTGCACGCTGTGATTTCCTCTGTGAACGTAGGAAATCGCTGTGTGGGAAAAATTCTGGGATATTGTTACTGCAACCTCCTCAATCTAAATATTTTGTCATCACTTTAGATCAGACCTATCATGCACTCAGGAAAATTAAGGTTTGGGTTATTTTTTTCTCTCATGAATATGTTAAAGTCGGAAAGAAACTCCCAATCCACCTGGAAATGTTTTTCAGGGGAATGGTTTGGGAAGAGCTCTGTCCCTTCTATCTCTGAGATAAAGCAGCTCAGGTGGAGTCAGCAATTCCCAGCTCACCTGTGGCAAACAGGGACATTTTTCCTAAGGGATGGAATCCTGTAAAAATCCATGGATGAGCAGCAGGAGCTGCTTTGGGGTCACCCTAAATTGTTCTCAGGCTCTGGTGCCAAAATCCTCAGTTGACCCCACTCCAGCCGAGCTGAACGAATCTGAAATGTCTGCAGGAAAATCCAGGCATTCCTGCCCCAAAACCCACACTCCCATAGCCCAGAGCAGCAAAAAATAACCCAAAGCAGCCTGCCATGACCCAGCCCTGCTTCCATCAGGGCTTCTGTACCAAAAAATGCACGGCCAGCTCTGTTCTCTGCCCTTCCTGGTGCCCACACTCATTGCTACGGCATTTCAAATCTCGCAGCTGGATGTGAGGGGGAATTTGCTGCTGCCACCACAGAAAGGGCTCTGCAGCTCCTCACCAGGGAGGAATTCAGGTCATGGTCGTGTCCATTGCAGCTGCAGCCATGGAAATGTTTCACTGGGTGGGAATTAGTGGTGAGTTCCACATGCCTGTCCTCAGGGAAAGCCCAGAGATCACAGCTCATGGACACCCCAAAATGATGGATTTTGGGTGGATCTTCTTGAGATCCCAGCATAAGGACACCTCAAAACCCATCCTTCTTGAGATCTCATCATATGGAAAACCCAAAATCCATCCTTGTTGAGATCCCAGCATATGGACGCCCCAAAATCCCTTCCAGCATCCAGACACTTCAAAATGATGGATTTTGGATGGATCTTCTTGAGGTCTCAGCATATGAACAACCCAAAACCCATCCTTGTTGAGCTCCCAGCATATGGACACCCCAAAACCTATCCTTTGTGGAGATCCCAGCATATGGACACCCCAAAATCCATCCCAGCATATAGACACTTCAAAATGATGGATTTTGGATGGATCTTCTTGAGATTCCAGCATATGGACACCCCAAAATCCATCCTTGTTGTGCACCCAGCATGTGAACAACCCAAAATCCATCCTTTTCGGGACCAGTGGTGGCACATTCTGGTGTGACAGGTTCTAAACCAGGAATTAATCAGGGTGCAGAGAATCCCAGCCCACACAGGAGGTTTTTGGGGTCCTGCTATGAGCACACACAGCACCAAGGCTCTGCTCCCCAGCACGCTCCTCCCCAGGGGGAAGGGTCAGGGATAATTGGCCCATTTGGGATGCAAACATCCTTGGCATCTTCCCATATTTATCTGCTGGTTTGTGTCGAGCTGGGGCCTTGGGGACATCTGGAGATTGTCCTTGGCAGGAAACCTCCTGTGTTCCCATGGATGTTCATCAATGGGAGCAATGGAAACGTGGCAGGGTTTTAGTGGGGTGATCCCATTGAGGGGGGCAAGCCAACCGTGGATTTGGGATTGTCCCAGGGGAAAACAGGGTTCCACTTCAGACAACACCCACAAATGAAGCCAACATCCCAAAACCAGCACAAAATCCTGCTGCAATTCAGAGGTGCCGAGCAAACCCTCCCTAAAGGGGAGCACCGGGGTCCCCCCCAAAAGGACAGAGGGCTCTGAGGAGGTGCCAGCAGCCTGGTGACCCCACAGCCGGGACATTTGGGATCCCTGCATCCCTCCTCTCCATCCCTCCCGCCCCTGCCCTGCCCCGCTGCCTCCAGCAAGTGTCAGCACAGAGCAAGGATTGAAGGACAGCTGGGTTTGAAAGGCAAGGAGCAAAAATCCACCAGAATCCAACTTTGTGCTTGGGTTTTATTTCCCTTCTCCTGCAGCTCCCATCAAAAACTGGGGGAAAAAAAATAAAAATGAGCTAAAGAGCACAGCAAATCCGAATTTCCCTGCTCAAGAGGAGCTGCACGGAGAGAGAGAAGGCAGCATTTGGTCTTGTTTACTTTCTGGCAAAAGCCATCCATGCTCCAGTGTTTTGAAATAGCAAAGGCGGCCAAATTCTTTCTGGATGATTAAACTTAACTATTTTGTTCGCTTTGTAGCTTTTCAGGCTGGGTTTGTGCCATCATCTTCGTGGGGTCTGGCTGCCCCCCTTCTCTTCCCCTCCCACCCCTCTGATAAGGAAATCGCTGGCTCCTCCTTTTGTTTGCAGAGTGAGAGACCCAGAAAGGAAGAGGAGGAAGGAAAGGTCAGAAATGTTTTTGCAAGGGGTTAAATTGGAGTTTTGAAGCCACGCTTCTGCACCCCAGCACCTGCAGAAATTTCAGGTGAAAGAGGAAAAGGAGGAAAAATTAGAAGGGAAATAATGGCCTGAGGATGATGGGCAGTGCTG